TATTAGGATTACTATTCTTTAAAAATTTATTTGTTATAAATCATCTTGTACTAATTTACTAAAAATAAATTTTGTATTTAATTATACAATAGCTACTGTAATAAACAACTATTTATAAATTTGTATTACATTAGCCACACTAGTTACACTAGTTATACTAGTTACAAACTTGTATTACCTAAATTACACAAGGTTACACAAGCCACAACAGTAGCCACAGTAAAATCTCTGCAAATATAAATTATATTCTGCAATTAATCTTATATTATAATTAAACTTTTAAAAATCTTTAATCAAAGATTACAAAAAACTTTATTAAATAAACCAAACTCAGACTTCTAAATAAACTTATAGTACTATGTCTACTCTTAGTACAAAAGCACTAGATACCTTAGATCTTGACTATTTTTTTAAGAATTATATAAGTTTCTATAATATTGTCATCTATAAAAAAGAATCTAAACAAATAAGAGTTATTTCAGACAAATACAAACTTATTAAATATATTATTATAGAACTTAGATATTATCTATTAACTTGTTTTTTTTCTGCTCTTGTGACAACTGCAACAATCAAGTGCATATGTGGATTATTCTACACTTAATTCATTACAGAAAAAAATAAAATATATGAACTTAACAATAAAATTGATAAAATAACAGCCAACAAACAAGCTAAAAAACTTTAACAAGTACTTGTAAAATCTAAATCATAAGTTTCATTATCTTCTATAACTGTTATCTATACACATACTAGTCTCAAATTCCAAATTTTAATAAACTATAAAGTGACTAACAACAACTATATACTACAAAATGAATCTATTTTTTATCAAAACATAGCATATCACAATAACTGCTTAGCTGAAATTTATAAAGAAATTATCTTAGCTAATCAACCCAAACTCCAACCGACTAAAAACTCTAAATAAGGTCCATCTTTACAACATAAACTTCTAACTTAACAGCTCATTATTTCTTTATTTAATCAAAATTCAAACAATCCTCTTGTTTCAGAACTCATATTTATTCTATTTAACTTTGAAGAAACAAATTTTACTAACAATAATATAAACATTGATAGCTCTACTACATTATCTAAATCACAACAACAACAACTACAAATTTAACAAACATAATAACAACAACAAGGGTGTGGTGACTTAGTGAAGTGGATAAGTTGTCATACCTTCAAGTGGTAGGTTGTGAGTTCAAAACCCATTGACAATGAAATTTGGATAATTATCTATGTAATATATAGACAGTATTATAGCAACAACATTCTGTTGATCAGTAGAGATAGAATACCTATAACTATGGTTGCATCAGCATGACTGGCAGGTCTGAGGCATCTGTGTAACTTGTTATACAGAAGAATGCAAACCAGTACCAGGCATTGCAAACCTAAAATAAGTCCTTGGGCCATGTAAATCTGTAGAACTGAAAAGCCAGAGCTCACTTGGAAATTCTGAGCAAAGAGGTAATACAGATATTCAGCAGTACTACTATAAAGGCTAAATCTAGGAAATGGATATCAATGTGAAGGATTTGGGCAAGTAAGAACCTCAGATAAGGTGTATCAAAAACAAGGCTGTCAGATTTTGAACTGGAGAAAAAGGATATTGGCCCAGCCTTAATATACCAAGAACAGGTTACAGTCCTTCTGAGCTATCTGGATTGGGAGTCTGGATTCAAAGCAGGGGTATACTAAAAGTACTAGGGATATGCTGTGAAGTCAGTACTAGAGTCTGAATGAACTCTGTAAGGGTAGTCTGTGTTAGTGTTCTAAAAGTAGGTAGATAGTTAACAATGAAGGGCCCCTTGTATCTTACTGACAGGTGATGTATTCTGAAATGTGTAACAGCCTGAGAACCAGTACAAAAAGGGTAGGTACCATACTGCTCAGACAGTATACCAGGTAGGTATATATGGGGTTAGTTGGGGATTTCAATATGACAGGGCAGATGATCAGAGGGTTTAAATGAATAATCTCCTAGTAAGTTATAGGTATGGCATCTAGTGTAGAACCTTAGGGTGGACTACTTAAATAGGCAATCAAAAGTTGCACATGTGACTAGCTGTACTCTTATCTCTGTAAAAATAGTTGTAATAGTTAACTTGATATAAAGTCAATAAAGTATTGCCACAAGTATGGCCTTAACAAAAAAAAAAAAAATAATAACAACAAAAACAATAATCTTTACATCAAGTTTCACTACTTTTATATATATAACAGTCTAATAAAAAATTAACACAACAACTTTAACTGACTCAATCTTATAGTTAAGTAACAAGACCCAAACTTAACCTATTATATAATTTTTTAGCAAACTTTCCAGTTACTGATGAAATACAAAACTATACAAAATTACAAATAGTAATGTTCTAAAAACTTTTTAACTTTCTTAAAGAACATTTTTATAACTTCTATTCTGATAAAATTATTAAAAAAGCAGTTAGAAACTGAGATCTACTCAAAATAAGCTTTTATCTATTAATTAGATAAATGACTAGTGCTAGATCTTAATTTCTTACTGACTTAATTCAACAACATAATAATAAAGTTATTACAATACTATTTAATATTTTTGAAGAAACATTTAAAAAAACTTATCTTTATATTTATAACAGTTTTTTTTTTATTAAACTTAACTATCCAGAAATATTTGCCTTTTCTGCTACCATTCCACCTATCCAAACCTATAATTGATTACAATTTTGAATTAATTTTACCTAACTTTACTTATATCTCTCTGATAACTATCAAGCAATTAACTACACTAAATTCACAGAAGATATCAAACTAAAACCCAAAAGATTTAATATAATATCTAAGATTACTGAAGTTGATAAACAACATCAGTTCCTCTTTATTAAAATAAATAATCATTTTAACATTAAACTTAATTTCAACCTTCTTAAAACCTTATTTTTTTAAAAATACAACATACTATTCTTAAAAAATTCATTTGATCATTTTAATGAATGGTTTAAAAAAATTTTCTTTATATACAGTTACTAATTTTTTAGTACTATTAACAAAACCAAAGTCCAAAACTATCTTAAATATGAATTTAGGCAACATTAAAGATTGGTTCAAAATAATTTGATTAGATAAGTTAAGACTCCAAATTTTTGAGTTAGATAGTAAGTAGTACTATTAGAAACATTATAGAGAATTGTTAAATTCATTATATGTTAAGGCTATTATAAAATATGATAACAGATCAATTATAATTTGGGGTTGCTTTACCTCTTATAGTATTAGTAGCTATTGTAAAATTAATGGTATAATAGATACAGATTTGTTTCTTAAAATACTTTATAAAGATTTGATTTAAATGATTAAAAATTATGAATTTGAAGTTATTAAAATTGTTTTTCAACAAGATAGAACATCTTGTTATATGACAACTTTGACCAAACATTGCTTATAAGAAAGAAGATAAAGTTTTTCAACTGACTTCCCAAATCAGCTGATCTAAACCTAATTAAATACTTGTAGAATAAAGTTGATCATTATCTTAGAGACCTTTCTGGTCAAATTTCAAGTGAAAAAGACCTCTGGAAAAAAATTCAGATAGTTTGGCAGACAATCAATATTGGCATCTGCATAAGATTAATCTGTTTAATGCCAGAATGAATTCATAATATAATTAAAACTTAGAACAGCTATACTAGATGGTGATAGCTAAAAATTAGTAGAAAAAAAATTCTTTTTTTTTATATAAAAATTTTTTTTTATTTTACAATCATGTTGTTGTTAAAACAAGCAATAATAATGTAAAAATATATATTAAAATAAAACTCATATCTCTAAAAAATTTTGATTACTAAATTTTTAAATCTTTTTTATTAATGATAATATTGCTATTTGCAAATAAAATAAAAAAAAATTAAACAAATATGTTTGGAATTGTGTAAGATATTATAATCCAACTAAAATTTTTTTTTGTTGAATTATTTATGATCACCAGTGTAGAATAACTATTCATAACCTAAATTTATAGTTAAGATTTATATTAATTTATTAATATATCTTAATACTTGAAATATTTACTTTTTAATTTTACTAAACACACCACTGATGTTTAACATCACAATGATTATCATCAATTAAATTATATAACTGCAATGTAATATAAGAATTAGGTGTAACATTAAATTTTGTTTTTTTATTACTCTTTTTAAAAACCATTTATAGCTTAAAATTTTACTAAAAAAACCACTTTTTGGCTTCTAATAAAAAAAATTCCTTGCTAAATTTTACTATATATTACATTTTATACTAATCTTTAACTACAAACATTGATTTAATATTTAATTAATTTTATTTTATTTATTATTATTTGTTTATATTATACAAAACACTGGTGTTGAACACCAGTGGTGTGTTTTAGTAAAACTGTTTACTTTTATAGTAAAATAAACATTATTAACATTTAAGAAATCTGTGGCAGGTTTTATCGACCAATGTGAAGTAGGAAAATTCTTAAAATTCATTAACGTCAGAGCTAACGTTTAGAATAAAGTTAGAAGTTAAATTGTTATATAGTAAAATCACTTAAGAAAACTTTTTTTGTGATTTTTTATGCTCTTTTGAGAAATAAGCGATTTTTGACAAAATGAACGTTTTCTTGATCGTGTTACATTATTGACGAAACTTGGCACAGATTTCTTGAGTGCATACATTACATACTTATAAACAGTCTAGACTATAACTTTTTTGGACGAATCTATGGTAGTTCTTCGCCATTATTGCATTACTAACAACAATATAACTCAAGCACATCTTGTAAAATTGAACTTAATTTGGATTATAAAAATAATGTTTTTTTCATAAGTTTATTTGAATAATATGTGTACATTCCAAAAGATATAATAATAATGTAAATAATAATAGTTAATCCCCAATGCTTAATAAATATATTTAATGTTGATACAAAAAAAATTCCTACTTTAGAGAATACAAACAGTTACCGAATCTATCAAAAAAAAAATTCAAGCGTGATTTAAATTTTTACCTTCACGCAAACGGATAGCCTTTACTTCAAATTTTTTACTTCTTAAAGACGGAGTAATAAACTGAACGATTTGTAAATCGTCATCTTCCTTGGCAACAAAATCATAATTTATAAATAACGCACTTAGAATAATTCTTATTTCCATCAAGGCAAAATTAATTCCTACACATAACCTAGAACCACTACCAAAAGGATAATAAGCATCATTTCTTATTTTCGGATTTAAATCAAACCATCGCTCAGGTATAAATTCATCAACATCTTGACCCCAAATTTGTTTGGATCTATGAAGTTTCCAAATTGAGGCGGTAACTATGGTATCTTTAGGAATTAAATGATTGGAAATTATGGTATCATTAGTTGTTTGTCGCATTATACCACCCAATGCTATAGGAAATAGTCGTAATGTTTCATCAATTATAGCATTTAAATATCTAAGAGATTTTAAAGTTTCATGGGTTGGTAAAACTAGGTTATCCTCATCTTCAATTGATTGTAAATTAGAAAACGCGGATTTCAATTCGATTCTTAAATTTTTCAATTTTTCAGGATGATTGAGTAACAAAATAATTGCCATAATGATAGTGAATGCACTTGAATCACTACCTCCTATTAAAAATTCTATCATTTGATCTTGTATCTCAAAGTCACTCATAGTTTTACCATCAGATATGTCAACGGGTGTTGTTGGTGAGGATTGCTTCAATGGATTATGATTATTAAGCAGAATTTGTAAAATATCAGTACGTCGTTCAGATGTCTTTGAGTTTTGTTCAATTCGATTTTTTATAATATTTGATACAAACTTTGTAATAAAAATATATTAGTGTTAATAATGTTAAAGTTATATATTAGTTTATATTTTAAAGGAGAAAATTATTAAGATTATTACCTCATCACACCAAGGATCTTTTTTAAAAAACATTTTGAAATAAGGAAAAGTATAGCACAAGACTCTTCTTTTCATCTCTTCAGATATTTTAATAGGTAATGGATGGCATTCTTTCTCAACCATATTAAAAGATCCACCAAAAGCCGTTTCACCAATTATATCCAAAGTACAAAATTGTATCAATTGAAAAAGGTTTATTGATGGTATATTATCTTTATTGAATTGAATAGATGTCGCGTTTAATGAGTGCAAAGATTTTGACGAAAGATTTGAAAGAGAATCTATTTTTTTGATTAATGATTTTACGCAAGATTGAATTAATGGCTCAAGTGACGCCACATATTTTATAGAGAAAGCTGGTGATAAGATACGTTTCTATAATTATTAAACCGATTTTCTTCAATTAATATAGCATGTAATAACATTATTCAAAAGATATTGTAAAAAAAATAGATGCCTACGCGTTGTCTATGAAACGTCTTATCACTAGATAGTAATAAAAAAAAATTAAGCGTAGGGAACATTAAATAAATTGCAAGATGTACACATGAACAAGTTTTTTTAAAATACATACGTGGCAGAAAATAAAGTTGGCAAGTTGTAATGAGCTCTGATTCCAGCAATAGATGGAGTCTTTGGCATATCCTAATATAAAATAAATAGTTGCATATAAATGTATATGAATATAAATTTTTTTATTAAAAACATGAATTTAAAAACTTACACTATCTTTCAAAATAAATTTTATAGCTTCTAAATCATCAAATAAGAGATATTTTGGACCAATTCTAACAACGCTACCATATTTTAAATGTAGTGAATAAAACCATTCAAACACACGACCTTCAGGTCTTTTCAATGATACTAAAATTTCGGTAAGTGACGAAAATTTTGGGCCAGGAATTTCAGAAAGAGGAGAAACATAAGCATGATAAAAAGCATAACAAAAGATTTTCATGAAAATGATGAGAAAAAAAACAGGCAAAATGTTGGAAATAATGACATTTTTAATTGAAAATTCAGATGAAAAGAAAGGTGATAAAGAAGGATAATCAGAAACAAAATAGCAGTTACTTAGAAGCATATTGGATGTTTAGTTTTTTAGATAAGTATAATATAGGGTAGTTAATAAATTTTATGGTTAAAGCAGATAAATAAATAATATATGCTTTTGCTTGAACTACGAAATTATCGCAAACGAGTTTAAGTGTAGTGTCAAAGATATATTTATATCTTTAACGCGGAAAAAAAATTTTTTGTCAAAGTAAAAGTCTTTATATAAGTAAATTTATTTATGCTCCAACATTGCATAATAATCAAAGATACTGTAGTTTGAATAATATATAATTAGTACGGACTTTCTTGTAAAAACTATTTCTTATACAATTAATGTGATAAATCCTGAAATCTCAGAAATATACATTCATATATATGTGATTTCGTTTGCAATAATATATACACAACATCACAACTAGCCACTACATAATCATCACATCACACTTGAGAATTCATTTAATTTAATGCTTCATTCGTATTATCGTTACATAAAAACCTGTATTATTGTTACGTAATAGGGATTGTTTCTAATGGTTCAAAGTTAAGTCAAAAATCTCATGATTAAATAAATATCTAATCAAAGATATTGATTTAAGACTCCTTATTTTCATTTAATTAGAGTCCAAGATTATTTTGCAGAATTTTCGTCTTATGAAGACGTAATTAAACTAAATTATGATTACACACATATATTTAAGGTAGAATAAAAATAGTAAGCCAATGAATAGAATAAAAAAGTTGTAGAAACAAATATTACCAGAACGATTAGAATTTTGGGAACAATGTTTTGTTCAGTTTTAATTTCGTATGCACTATATAAATCTATATATTGTATCTATGCATTATAAATGAAAAAATTTATTCGGAAAAGCTGATCACGACATTTGAAACATATACTGATCAATACAGTACACGTAGTATCATATTAATTTAGAGGGCACTAAACTTTAAAATATTCAGCTGATTTCTCTATTCATAAAATATTCATCTAAAAACAGATATAACAAGCAGTATAATATATGTTGATGTATGAGCAGATTTTGTATATTGCTAGTACTTAGATATAATTAATAATAGTTAAATATTCTTTAAATTTCAATAATATGAACAGTCAAAAGATCAGTACTCTCGCAGAGCATCTCGCCTTCCAATTATTACTTATTATGACTGCAAGTCAATAATAATCACAAGTACACAAGATAGTAAAGTTTCAAAAGTTTATGACGATTACACGGAAAAACATAAAAATGTAGCACAAATTAACAAATCAACAATGCAAGTTAATAAAATAGTCATAATATAATATAGTATATAAAATATAATACATAAACATAGTCATAAACATAGTGCATAGACATAGTACATAAAGATTGATGCATCTAGTTCTTCCATTATACTAGGAGTGGCGTCTTTAAGGTTTCGTAGTTTTTGAAGGTGGACGTTGTCTTCTCATCTTTTCTATATTCTCAATGGTAGTTTTTTTTATTTTCATATGAGTGACGAAAAAGGAAAACCTGTAAATCATTTCACTTATTATCGTTATGTGAAATGATTTACAGGTTTTCCCTATTCGTCACTCATATATCAGAAGCTACCGTCAATCAAGTCTATATATTGCAATAAGTTACACGAATGAAAATCAATTCTTACGTATCCTGTATTCATTTATTGGTCGAGACTATGTTAATAAAACTTGTGCCAATTTATGGTTAATGAGTGGTCAGTTATTCTGTCTATTTCTTCTAAAGTATATTTATAAAAAATAATTTATGTAAAGTCAAGCTGATTAAGATATCATTAAAATCCATTTTTAAATCTTAAAATTTATACCAATTTGTGCTGCGTATTTTACAATTTTTCTTTTATAAAAAAAAAAGTTTAGCTTAAAATCAAATTATTTATATTGTACAACATTGAACTTTTTGGCCAATAAATGAAAATTTAGCCATGTTGTGCTTGAATTTTGAGTGGTTTTGTCTCATTTTTCTACAATATATTATATTACAAAATGGTTTATCCTATTTTTTAAATATGAATTTATCTTTAAATTTTTAGAACAAGTCTGTAAATGATTTAAGAACAAAGTTATGTTTAAATATTTGTTGTTTTACATAAATTTGTATTCAAATTTTAAACCCTAATAATATTTAAATTTTCTAAAATTGTAATAATTTTAATAATTTTCGAAAAAAAGTGATTACCTTGAATTAATTTATGAGAAAACGACTTCTCTGATAAAAATTGATATAACTTTAATATAGACATCATATAGTGAGTTTATTAAAGTCCAAGTTTATTAAAGTCCATAGATTGTACCACCGCAACTAGTCAATTTTGCTGATATGATTTATAGGGTTAAGATAAATTGATGTTAAGAATTCAGATATTTATAATTTGATCTGTCAGTCAGAAAGCCTTTTTTTCCATAAAACAGGTAATTAATGTGTCAAGTAAAGAATAACATTATTTTAATTTTAAAATAAATCACTCTAGTCTATGGAGGTTTAATATTGAACCCATAAATGCTAATGATTTACATGCAAACATTTTTAAACTTCACCATGACTTACTATATGTATAAAAGTATTTCTCAGACCTATATAGTTACTCTTTGTGATCAACTAATTTTTAAAAAAATTCTTTAAAAGTGTTGATACTCATTTTAAATAGCCATCTGAATAATTAACACACCACTACTATTGGGTAGATTGTGGCGCGTGTTGTTTGTATTTTCTTTCACTACTCTAAAATGATAACTTCTTTTAAGGTGGCGCGTGTTGTTTATATTTTCTTTCGCTACTCTAAAGTGATAACTTCTTTTTAAGGTGAAAACATGCACATATACATATTACTCATTTACAACAAGTTGTCACCCTTTTAAAATAATCACTCATCTCGGCCGAAAAATTGATTTATTTTACAGCCGTGAAACATTTTTAAAACGGGTAATAAACAAGTTTACTATTTATTTGGCTACATCAATTCTGCAATTGTGTATATTACATGCTAGATAAAAAAAAAAATACAGATAATATATATGTGATTCTTTTTTTCCTTTTTTTTGCACAATCTTTTATTTTTTATGGTAATTACATACTTAGTTCCGCACTTGAAATAACTTGGTTCAAAATTGTTTCGCGTAGTTGAACTGAAGACTTGTGTAATCAATTCACATTAAAAAAGATTTTGATTACACGATGTAATATCTATGTAACATTCAGTAAACAATAAGTCAAATTTTAAACACGATTATTTATTATTCACAATTATTAGTTATTTATTTATTTACTGAAGTCAAAAAAGGTCAAAGGACTAGAAATTGTAAAACATAAAAGACGTTTGGATTTTGGAATATTTGAAACTTGCTTATCTAGTGAAATGAGTAACCAGTTTTATATACGCTTTTAACAATTTTTAAAAGCTTCTTTTTTTTTTAAAAAAAAAAGAAAAAACAATTATTAAATAATTGCTCTTTCTTGAAATTATCTACAAATACCTTCGAGTAAAGGGTAGATGTTTGTATTTTTCAATGGTTTAACAAAAAAGAAGCATGAACACACAGCCCAATCTTCTCGGCCGAATTACCATATTTGTACACACAATAATAATGTAAATGTTGAAGCTCGCTGAATTTGTAAAAGTTTACATAATGTAAAAAATAAAGTTTATTAACATTGCTGTTATTTGATACTTCTGAGGTAATAGTGATTATTTATAACGTGATAACAAAAGCGATAAAAGATTGTAAAAAAATAAAAGTATTTTAGGAGAACGAATGCTTCGCAAATGTTATAGTATGGTGGCGCGTAAATATCGTGATATGAATGACGAAAAATAAATCATTTCACTTATTATGTGAAATGATTTACAGGTTTTCCCTTTTCGTCACTCATATAATTAATTGATAAGGTGACACAAATGAATTTATTTAACATCACGTGCTGCACTTAAAAACATAATGTATTCTGTTCGGCCGAACTTGTCAAATTTATCATCAAACGCAAAAAGATTGCACTTCGGCCGAAATTCATGCACAATATAAATTAGGAAATTTGCAACGATAACGATAAATAATGCTTAAATTTTACTTTACAGTAAACCTGTCTAATACGACATGGTGTAATCTGAGTTGCGCTATGATCATCACATGAGGGTGAATCCGCTTTTATATAATAAAAAACATAATAAAACGCGGATTTCACCTTAACCCGATCTATAAAGCGGATTTCACTATTTCGCAATTCAGGTTTCACCCTGTTCTATAATAATAATAATAAAGGATTTATTGCTAAGGCAGATTTATGAAAGTGTGTTCATGTGACTAAGATCTCTAGCAAACAATAGCGTGCATTCTACAAAGGAATGTAATTTGCTAAAATTATTAAATATAAGCTTTGTTAAACTGAAAACAGAAGTGAAAAAAACCTTAATTCAATTCAATAATTTGGATTGGTTTCTTGTTTGTCTTTTGACTTATTCGTCAAAAAATAAAAAAATTGACCGCAATGGTTTTGTGGAGATGGATCACGCCATATGTGCATACAATTATGAATTATGCATGGGTACACGCACTTAAGTGTTCGTAC